TTTATATGCCGAGTTTCCTTAGGCTTTCTAAATTACCCATGTAACAAGCTTTTTGTTAATGACTCCCAAACCAGTTGGCTTTAGGATATTATTGTGAAGAGACACCCCTAAGAACATACTTACTCAAGTAACAAAGGCCACAAAACATTCAACTTCTCTCTCTTCTTTTTCTTTTTCTTTTTTTTCCAACCATACATTACATTCTTCCCTAAGTTATCACTTGTCTTTTGACGTGAATACTAATATTTGTGATGAAAGAACCCGGTTACTCAACAAGTCATAAACTCAAAGTGCTTTGCATACTCATATTTCGAATCACTGTTTGACGTGAAAGTTGACATGGGTTTCATACCTAACCCCCAGTTACTAAGCAACTAAAAACATTGGAGTAGAAATTAACAAACTCTTTTGTATTGGCTTTCTATCTACTTTTTCTTTTTCTTTTTCTTTTTATGCTTTTTAGGTGCTACTAAGTTTTCTCCCTAAACTTCTCACTACAAACTTGTGCTCAACTAGAATAGAATACTCATGAACTTAAACTTCACCATAATGGTGCTATTTTTTAGATTTTGTATCTCCTCTAAGATTCAAAGATATCAAAAGTTTTTGAATTTCCAACCCAAGAATATTTAATTCCTTGACACTAATTGGACCAACTCCTAAAAAAAATACCCTAATTTCTAAAAAAAAAAATGTATGTCATGCAAATATGAATGCAAACTAATGTAAGAATGAAAGCTTAAAAGTTATCCTCTCCTCCAAAGTTATATCAAACATTGTCTTCAATGTAAAATAAATGTAAGAGAAAAGAGAAACTTCCCAGGTTTTGCTCTTGAAGATTTAGAATTGAAGTTCTGAAGTTGAGTTCTTTTCAATTGGAGACTTCAAGCATGTGAATTTCCATAATCTCGTCCCCCAAACTTGTTCAATGACCTGGTCAAAATCAAAGAACAACAATTTATAAGCTAAAATACTCAACTAATCCAATAAATTCACCTTTTAGTGAGATGTGAATTTCTCCACAATTGTGCATCAACCTAGGCCATAAAGAGAAAAAAGGGAAATTAAAAAAAAATCTAAACTACAAAAGAAAAATAAATAAAAGAAAAGAAAATTTTATGCTTGGGTTGCCTCCCAAAAAGCACTTAATTTACAGTCATTAGCTAGACTTTCTACCACTCCAAGGTGGTTTTGGATCAGGTCGTAGGACATGTCCTCTTGTTTTCTTAAATCTTGGCTTTCTTGCCCTTAAGTTGAATCCACCATGAGATTTTTTCCAATGACTATTCTAAGGTGGTTTGGGTTTAGGCCAAGAGATGTGCCTTCCCAATTCTTCTAGGATTGCCCATTTTGATTCCAAGGAAGATGATGTGTTCTAGCAATTTATGTATTCTTTTGTTGTATGTATCCATGCATCTAGTGTTGAGGAAACTCTTCATGAACGCATACATGAATTGCATGGAGCTTGGACCTTGAATGTATCATGTCAGTAGATAACGGCCAGTAGTTGGTTTTGATCAACATTGTAAAAAACAGTAGAGAGACTGTGAGTGTGAGTTGCAACAACAGCAGGAAAGCTACTAGAGGAGTTATGGTTCTGTTTGATGATCAATAGTGATTTTGTTTCCAATTCCTCTTGATACTGGTTTTTTCCCCTTAAGGAATTTTCACATTAAAAAATCTAGTGTCTTGATTTTGTGGATATGATAATTTTTCTTCTTGCTGCTTGATTTATTCTTGAATTTAATTATTTTCCATTTAATTACACACACAGAAGAATACTGGTTAAATGTGATATTTGGTGAGCTCTTTTAAAACCATGTGTTATGTACGTAGATTGGTTTTTGATCCAAGAATCCCCAAATACTAAAAAGGCTCACTTTATTTTCGTGCTCCCTATTCAAATTCAAGTTATTAACTGAATTGGGTGGACTTTTTGGTAATAGATTATAATTGGACTTGCGTGTACTGTTAACCCAAACAAAGACTTAGGATTTGATTCACATACATATTTTTGAACTTAACTGAGTAAAATAGATGGTTATTGTTCTCAAAAAAGAAATGTAAATGATTTATTCATATCCACCATAAGTTTGAGAACTTAGTTCAATCCTTAAGAAATATTATTCAAAAGTTATGAAGGGAATGATCTCTGGTATCCTATGACTCTGTATAGTTTTATATGTAAGAAATGAAATATTAACATTATTAGTACATTTAGTTAAGTTGAATACTGAATACTCTAGAGCGGGAAAGGTTAGTGATAGTATCTGGTATTAATCTAACACTACTAGAAAACATAAAATCACCGAGCAAACATCACCGATGTAAAATGATTTGTCGGTGAATTAATAATTTACCGACAAAAAGAAAATCTGTAAAGTGATAAATAGTAGCATTAAAATTAATTTATGTTATTTTATTTTCAGAGGGGGATTTTGTTGGTAAATTTAGACAATACACACGCATTTTTTGTCGGTAAGACATATAAATATTCTCTCCCCCAATTCCGGTAGCTTTTCCGGTGTAGTGGACAAAGAGTTTAGACACCTACGATGGTTTCGTCGGTAACTTCAAGATCATGCAACAACAACCTTGTCGGTAAGTTGCAAAGATCTTGGAAATATCTACTTAGGCAGCTTTTTAGGTGAGTGAGCAGAAAATCCTATGGCCTACGTCGGTGAATTTACTGGTGCAGTTACTCTGCAGAAGGTGGTGCAGAACAATGATAAGTGCAATTTGTTTAATATTATTATTTTTTATATGTTTTTACATTGAATTTAATTATTTTATGTATATATTACTTTTTTTTAGAATTTAAAATATAAAATATTGTGATTTGTTCATTTGATATTAACATTATCAAATTTATTGTTTTAGATAAATTATATATATAGATGTTTGTTAATAATTTTTTAGTAATTTTTTTGTTAAAATTCTTATGTGAAATTTTAATATTATAATAATTATTTGATGGCAATAAAAAATTCATCTTTCAACTTCCCACCATGCATTTGCCGGTAAATGATGGCGGGACTCTCAAAATTTTTTATTCTTAGCTTCCAACAATCACCTTGTCAGTGAAAAATAAAGCGGCAACACAAAATTTTCAGATATTTTTGCTCGTGCGTCAAATTTTATAGAACCTATGTGTCTTACGTCGGTAAAATGAATACCGACAAAGTACACATAGATAAGAGGCTGGATATATTCTCAGAACTGCCCAACCCTCTCATTTTGTTTTCGTCTTCCTCTTCTTCTTTCTTCTGCTCCCTTATATGTCTCTCCTTCTTTCCATTAAAATGTTGCTCACTTAAAGGGTCACCAACGCACTTCTTTGATGGGTGCCGAACAGAGGTGGACATGATTGGTCATCGATGGAGCTTGGGTTCACTCAATTGGGTTGATTTTTGCCATGGTGACCTTCAAATTCCCTTCAAGGTGACCTTCAAGACTTGCATTCGACTGGAATGAAGGCGAAGAAGAGCCTTTAGTTCACTGGAGGAGCATTTCCTTCTATGTCACTATATGCCGGATCTAACCAATAGATTTCTTTCAGACAAGCATAGAATAAGCCTTATCCTCATTTTATGT